CACACACACACACACACACACACAGAGAGAGAGAGAGAGAGAGAGAGAGAGAGAGAGAGAGAAACAGTTTCAGAGCTTGACCTAATTTTTGCTGAGTCTGGATGGTTTGTTGTTTTGCCTGGTGCCAGGGCCTCCTACACACCAAGCAGGTGCTCTCCTGAGCTGCGGCCCCGCCTTCATTGTATGTATTTTTGTAGACAGGAATTTCATTGTAAACAGAATGACAATTAGGAAAAAATGTATACTGTTTATATGCTGTATTTTTCAACTATATGACGAATAAAAAGATATGTGTTTAATTAAAATATCACAGCAGATGTGGTAGCCCATGCCTTTAATACCAGCAGAGGTGAGGCTGGTGAGTGAGGCCAGCCTGGCCTACACAGTGAGTTCCAGGACAGCCAGGACCACATAAAGAGACCCTGTCTCAGCCAGGCAGTGGTAGCACAAACTTCATACCTTTAATTCCATCATTTGGGAGGCAGAGGCAGGAGGATCCTTGAGTTTGAGGCCAGCCTGGTCTACAGAGTGAGTTCCAGGACATTGTGGGCTACACAGGGAAACCCTATCTGAAAAAAATGAAGGAGGAAGAGGAGGAGGATAATGATGACCACAATGAAGAAGGAAGGAAGGAAGGAAGGAAGGGAAGAGGAAGAGGAAGAGGAAGAGGAAGAAGAAGAAGAAGAAGAAGAAGAAGAAGAAGAAGAAGAAGAAGAAATATAGCACAAATATCTCTTTAACTGGCCAGAATATTTTGGGTTACTTCTACTAAATTTCCTTCACAATATTTGTATTTACCTCAAATAATGTAACAAAACTATGAGCTCAAGGACCCCCATGTTCTCTACTGCATAGGTTGGCATGACGTACATTAGTTCACTCAATACCTGCAGCTGACAAAGGTGAGGTGTTTTTTTTTTTTTAAGAAAACTCATTAAAACCAAGAATATTTCATCAAAAGCCCAGTTATAGCACAGTTAGAATTTATTTAGTCATCTGTACACACTCAAGTCAGACTTAAAGACAGTTAAGGCTGCCTAAAATATAGCATCTCCATATCAAATGCAAGAACTGGCTTAGAGGAGAAAGGGTTTATTTGGCTTACAATTCCAGGTTACAGCCCTTGCTTTGGGGGAAGCAGAGGCAGGAACTCCAGCAGCTAACTCACATCCACAGAGAGGAGCAAATGGGTCTGTGCTGCCTTCTCCAGCTTCTCCTAACCCACACAGAAGGCGAGACATTCCCACGCCCACGCACACAGGGCAAGGGAGATTCTTGGGTGGTTGTGGGCTGTGTCAAGTAGATGGTTCACACTAAGCAGCACATGGCTATATTAAACTTTTTAGATGAACAGTGCTGTTTACCTTCTAGGGATTTAATACTAAAGCCATTTCCTTTCCCGCTCCCCCCCCAACAATTGTTTATTGAACATCTGTTTTTTTTTTTTTTTAGTTGTTCTATTTTTGTTACAAAAAAAAAAAAAAAATGAATTCTTG